TGTTATTCTGTTCCGTGGAAAATATTTGTTCAACATAGAACTGGATGGATTTTTTTGGATGCCTTTAGATTTGATTTTCTTTTATGCTTTGGACATTATTAAATTCCATTTATGTTTGAATATTGGATTCTCAAATTCTGTTACTTGGAATCTGAATGTTTGTCACAGTTCCTATGTAGGATGGAGCTGTGATAGAGGGAAGTCATAAAAAAGACAATTTTCTACATAAGCATTCTATATACTGTGTGTTATTGCAGGTCACCGGTTGTCGGTATGGGCTTGGAGTTCCTACTCAAGTATTGACCGGTTCAGCTAATAAGAAAGTTGAGAAGTTTAAGTCAAGCAAAATATTTGGATCTGGAAAGTAAGTACCCCTAAAGAATTGTATTTGTTTCAGTTCAAAGAAGACTAGCCCAGAGGCATGGACGTCATGTGACTGTTCAAAATGAGGTTTTACTTGTCTTTTAGTTCATTCTATAATCACCAGAGAAGCCCACATTTCTAGTACATTTGTGATAAGAATTCATAGTACCATGCTGAACAGACTCTCACGTACTTGTTCCCACTGACACACGTACATTTACATGTTCACATCTACCACACACTCGTACATTTACATGTTCACATCTACCACACACTCGTACATTTACATGTTCACATCTACCACACACTCATACATTTACATGTTCACATCTACCACACACACGTACATTTACATGTTCACATCTACCACACACTCGCACCAATCTGAACTTCTAAGCTTTGAGATCTCTCTCATTTCTGTTCTAATTCATACTGTATGTAATATTTAAGAGACTTTATTTGATTTTGTAATGGGTACTTTTTTTCTTTCACTTTATTGAGATCTATTTTTGCTGTATGTATGCTGTGACTTCGCAACCCATTAAATGTTGCTGACAAATTAAGTGTTAGTGCCTTCATCAAAGCTGAGGTTATAAACAGAATCATGGTCTTATATATGCTTTAAAGGTAGATGCCAGATGCACTGTGTCTTTCCATAAAGGGCTTGACTTGTGTATTGACAACAAAATGTAGGGCTATAATCCCATGCTTTTCATACAGAGCTGTTAAGTTGTAAACTTTTTGACATTTTCATTTAATTTCATGACAATTAAAAGCGATCATGGCTCCTTTTGACAAAAACTACAAAGTTAATCCTTCTGATGATGAAAAAAACCTCCTATCTTGTTTCCCAAAAATTGTTCTTACTAGTAATGATAGTGCATATCATCTGTTCATGCCCTGAGAATATTCTTGTTGTATTAGTGTTTCAAAATACTAATGTCCGTTCTAATTCAATACAATTACAGGTACAGAAGTCAGAAGTTCTGGACTGCTTTTGGTAAGCACCACTGTCTTCTGCTTTCTTCTTCATGTCAATGATATAAGTGTCACGATGCGGTGAAATCAGGCGCTCGTCAATTTTTGGGCATATGGAGTTATTGGTTTCATCTTAAACCCTGTTCATTTTCCTTGCTTTGAATGAGAAAATATCCTTCTATCTTGAATAGAAGTGGAGATATTTGCAATCGAAAGAGGTGGGGATCACCGGGTTCAGAGGTAAAATTAGCTAGAAAATGGCTGCCAAAGTTTGGTGACTTCCATAGCCTGAGAACCCATGAAAACTGAAAATTAACAATTTTAGTTACTTTAATCAATGTTTTTCTGTAAAATCCACAGAACAATGTTTTTATAAATGGACATAAATGATGTTTAGCCAAAAAAACAAATATTTCACCACAATGACTCTCATATTCCTCCATAGAACAGTTTGAGTTTACTTCATTGTGTATCTCATGCTACTGGGTATGTCTTTGCTTTGTAATTCTGTCAATATGTAGGATCTGCAGGACACGTATTCACAATTTTTTTTGTGTCTGCCAAATGGCAAAAGAAAATGAAGCATACACTTTACAGAGAGATAGCTTATGTTTGAATTCTAGTTTTAATAATAAAAAATTGGCACACCTCATTTCGGGGTTTTTTGGGGGGGTTTTGGAGATGTGGAAAGTACTAGATGATATGGTTGTTGACTCCAGGTGAGACTGCCGCTTATCTTTACAATTGATGACTGAGATTTTGAAATAACTTTATTTAGTACCAATGCTTCATTTGTTTTGTTTTTTTTAGATTACTTTTTCAGTTATAATTGCAAAAATCTATACTTTTCCTTCGTGATAAGCTTTTTAAGTCATGAAGTGTTGTGAGACATTTATATTTCCTTTGGGAACAGGAAAATGCTTGGTCTATGCTGGCTATCTGAAGGAAAAGGCTGTTCAGGGAGGGTTTGGCTCCACCACTGAGCTCACTCCCATGGCAAGAACCTGGCTCCAGGACTACAAGAGGTCTGGAGAGGAGTGTAAATTGACCATTGTACCAAGTAAGGATCTGTTACAAGAGGAAACGGCTGGCAATATGAAGAAGTCGGTCTCTATCACCTTGAAGTGAGTTATTATTTAGTTCTGGTGTTATCTTTGCTTTTTAAAAAAATTGAATATCCAACGTAATCCTGAGACCCTAGTTGTTGTTGTGTGTGTAGCCTATCCGTTCGAAGTGTTTGGGAGTCCCAAAGAGCGTGCTCTTCGCCAGGGCCACCGCCTCCCTTGGGTAGCGGGTGAGGCAGTCCAACCTCCCTGAATCCTCCCTGAAGAGATGCCACCGCCGGATGTTGTTGTTGTCTATCCAGTAGCCTTTGAGCATGAGCCCTTCGGCCCAATGCCCTTTTAAAAAAAGGTGTAGGTCTTTGACATTTCTTCTTTGCTGCAGTGGAAAGACCCCTGCAATATTCAGTATTTTCATAAAAGAATAATGTTCAACATTCTTTTTATTTGATATGCTATTTAGTTACTGTTGTCTTGGATGGGTACCATAAACATGTTTTTTTGCTTTGTTCACCTAGGGTTTTATGATATTGCAAAGTATTCAGCTGTCCCGTAATTTATTGTGTTCCATTACTTTGCAGAGGATGGTTGGCGGGTGCTCTGGTGTGGTTTGCTTCTTCTTTCCTATCAAACATCTATCGACCTTATCTCCCCTCCTTCTTTTGCGTGTTTGTTACTCTCTTGGAACACCTCTAATCTTCAACACTTATATATACCTTATTGTGTTGCAAGTGCCGTAAAACTCTTAAGAAAACTAAACTTACTTCGCAACATTGCCAGATTATCGTCTAGTCTTTTCCCTACATCTGTGAAGTAATGGATAAATTCTTCCCCATTACACTGGGGGGAAAAAATTGAGTTTGGTTTGGTCTTTCTGCTTGGATATTGTATCCCTTTCTTCTTTGAATTGTTTAAGACAAGATCAAAACAGCCCGCTTCCAAATGAACATCATGGTCTCGATTTGACGTTTAAAAATCTTGTTATGTGGTGTCCATCTTTTTTATCGCCAGGCTCCATTCTGCTGTGATTTTTGCATGGAATAATTGCATTTCTTCTTAGAAAACAAGACTGTCTGTAAACTTTAAAGTCTTCTTTTTCTTTTTTCTGTTTTAAACAGATCAGTCGCACCTTCTGGGTCAAGCTATCTGTCGGGAGAACTCAGTTCAAACTTCTCCAGCTCCTTCAGCAACGCGAAACCCGTGGCTGTGGCTGAGAGTCCCGTTCCAAAGGTGGATGAGAAGACTCAAAAGTTGCAGTCTGATCTGTATGCAAAACTCCTGAAGCTGAGGAACGACATGGCACAAAAGACCGGCTTCACTCCGCACAACATTGCCAGCAACAAACAACTCTTGGATATGGCTAAATTGAGGTAACAATCTCTTCTTTGTTTTGAGTCTTTTTTTACCTTTCTATCCTAAAGCTTATGACGAATATTCGAAAACGACAGGCAAATTTCGTTGGACACACAATGCGGAAAGAAGCATTTGAGAATATTGTAACAACAGGCAAGTTTGATGGAAAGAGAGGCAGACAAAGGGAAAAGATACTGGACAAGTTGACAACATGGCTGGGAGCAGCAAGAACGGACCCCATTGCTGCAACGCAAGACAGGTGGAAGTGAAGGTCCATGATCGCCCACGCCAGTCGGCAAGGCACCAGATGATGATGATGATCTGAAAGCATTTATATTTATTACAGTAGAGTCCACTTAAAACAAGTCCTGAAATGAGGAGACCTCAGTTTTTAAGACACTATTCTTAAAAGCCTTTTTGTTCCTTTCTTTATATTTGTAAATAAAATACTGCTATAGCACAATCAGACAAACACGCGAGTGGGTTATAGCAGAATAAAACGGCTACTGTACACAGCGCATAGGTCAATATTTGGAAAACCTTGCTTGTTGAGAAACTTTGGATAATCTAGCGAAACAAAGAATGGGAGAGCCCACGTGTGCCAACAATGAAGGCAGGAGCGAATGAGTGGGGAGGGTGTGGCATGCGCAGGCAAGCAAAAGGCATCGCATGATAGGCCAGCCTTGGCTAGATTATCTAGGCCTACCAGGCCTCTCGCTTCTCCGATGCGGGGATAGAGGGGTCACAGGGCTGTGATAGATGGAGCGAATGTGTGACGTGGGCAGGGTGTGGTGTGTACCTAATGTGCGCAAGCAGATGGAACGCACCACAGGATGTGGTGGGGTGGGGGACAACACAGCAGGTGAGTTACCCCTTTCTTTCTGACCGCCAGCGCGAACTGTCAACATCACTAGCACTAGAGAAAGAAACCTGATTCGATTTTCGATCAAATAAGAATTAAAATCTAGAGTTTGTGTTGAACAAAATCACCATCAGAGGAGATAACAAAAAGAAATAAACAGAACACCCAACTCACAGATTAGGCCTACTTAATTATTTTTCCCTCGAGTTTATGACTGGATCCCTTATAACGAGAATCCGGCTATAACGGATATTTCGGATAAGTCCTCTCCCTCTCGTTATAACAAGATTCCACTGTAGCAGCATTTGATTAGCACGTATCCCCATTTAACAGCAAGCTCTGTACACTTTACCGTCTATGGAAGTCTATTTAGAAATTCACTATTAAAGTGTTTTTTTTTTAATTTTGAAATAATTTTTATTGTTTTTATGTTTTAATCAGAGTTTATAATACATTTGAAAGGGTGAGCGCAGTATAATCTCATATTTACCACCGTGACTTGAGCAAGGTGTGATTAATGTTAGAAATGATAGGAAGGCAAAAGCTGATAGACATACGTGACAAATGAAAAGATATGTCCTCTTTTTCTCAAGTTCTTTTTTAACACTTACTATTAATTATTCAACATAGTATGGTGAAATCGTATAATTTTCTCTGACATCACAGGCTATTAGGTCGCTTTTAAGCAAAAAGAGGCTAACCCAAAAAAATGCTGTTTTGAGAAAATCAAAGCTTAAGTTTTTGAATTCTTATTTAGTTTCTTTGAAAGACCAGAAGAGTTTTCTCTATAACTAAACAAATATATACACACCAATGAAACCAAAAAATATACACACCAATGAAACCAAACAAATATACACACCAATGAAACCAAACAAATATACACACCAATGAAACCAAACAAATATACACACCAATGAAACCAAACTTCTATAGGTAAGGCGATGAGCACTTTTGGTGTAGGTCAAGATTTCTGGAAACCCCCGAAGTCTGTGTTAGCCCGCTTGTCCTTAAAAGCAACCAATTTTACAAACACAAATCGAAGGATACAGATCGAGACAGATCTATGAAAATAATAGTATTATAGTGTAAAGCTCATATATAGAGCTTGCTGTCGAGGGGGAGGGGGGGGGGGGGATATGCGCTATACAAATTATGCTATCTATCTACTTTACTATCTGTTATTATTATTATTATTATTACAATCAATCGAAGTTTAAGTTTTTGAACTCTTGTTCCGTTTCTCTAAAAAAAACAAGGAGAGTTTTCTCTATTACCAAACAAATATACACACCAATGAAACCAAACTTCTCCTATAGGCAAGGCAATGCCCGCTTTTGGTGTAAGTCAAGATTTCTGGAAACCCCCAAAATCTGGGTTAGTCCGCTTGTCCTTTAAAGCGACCTTTTGTTAGTGGCACTAGGATGGTAATGTATCCACATATGTGCCACGACACAGTGGAATCAGCTGCTTGTCAACTTTGGGGCATACAGAAGTATTGGTATCATCTTAAAGCCTGTCCATTTGCCTTGCGTTTGATGGAAAAAAATATCCATTTACCTTGGATGCAAGTCAAGATATTTGCGATTGAAGGAGATGAGGATCGTCTGGTTTCAGGGGTAAAATAAGCAAGAAAATGGCCGCCAAAATTGCGTTCTTTCCCTAGCTTTTGAGTCCATGGAAACTGAAAATTTACATCTTTTATGCCTTTAATCAATGTTTTTCAGTAAAGTCCACACAGAAATGTCTTCTTTAATGAACATTACAGGTGTTGAGCCTAAAAACAAAAATTCAATAAAAATGACCAAACCTATGGGAAAATGCCAGTTTCCTCTCTTTCATTATTTTGACGAGCGCCTGATTTCACCATGCTGCATCACATATAGTAAAGAAGAATCTCTCAGGTTGAATAGAAATCTGGTTGTTTCATTTTCACTCAGTTCTCTTATGGTTTTTCCCTTTCAGGCCATGCACCCGGGCTTCGTTGCTCAAAATAGAAGACTTCTCGGAAGTCAAAGCTCAAAGGTTTGGCAGTGAGTTTACATCTGTGATCAAAGCGTTTAGTGAAGAGCACTCTCTTAAACAAGATGACTTTCCGGATCCTGTGGATTTGTCTGTAAGTGCTTTATTTTACACACTCACACATACACACACACAATCTCACACACACACAATCACTCACACACACACGCCCTCACACACACACTCACTCACTCACAATCACATGCGCACAATCACATGCGCACACACTCTCTCTCGCACATGCACACACACAATCACACACACACACGATCACACATACACACTCACAATCTCACACACACACACGCACACACACACTCACACACAGACAGATAATGTTGATTTTTCTGTATCGCACTTAATTACTTCCAGCCCCCCACCCCACACACTCACATAAGAACTGTGGGTGGTTGGCGGGAGCTCTGATGGGTTTGCTTCTTCTTTCCTATCATCCTTATCTCCCCTTCTTCTTTTTTATGTTTGTTACTCTCTTGTAACACCTCTAATCTTTTGGCGCTCATATGACCGTATGCAGTTGCGAGCGCCGTAAAACCTCTCCTAAAACTAAAACTAACATTTAAGAACTGTTGTTTTTGATGCCTTTTCTTGTGTTTTTGTAGTTAACGTTTTACGGCACTCTCAACTGCATACGGTCATATGAGCGAGTAGGACACATTAAATACTTTCAGTTGGTAGGAAATTTTGAATTTTGCCCGGGTGGCAGCCGAGGCCTACTCTGATCGATTTTGGACTACCATAGGATCTTTAAGAAGCGCAACTTGCACATGGGACCTCCGAGATTTTTCGCCCTTATCCGAGAAGGCTAGGTGTTACAGTGGTGTCGATCTTTCCTATCATAAGATCAGGGGTGTGACTGAAAGACGGTAGTAAGAAGGAGCCAAGGAGTAACAGTGGAAAGGCTGCAGAAAGAGTCAGGAGCCCAGAGGAGGGGGCAAAGGGGGGTGGGATGGGGGCAGAAAGTGGAGAGAACATTTTTTGAGAGCAGGAAAGGACGTGAAAAGAGAAAATTTTAGAGAAGAAAAATTTACTTTGCTATCCAGATTCGAACCCGGGACCTATTGAATGACAGGCGAACACCTTAATTTCTAGACAACGAGAGCTCCTTGTTGCCTTTAATGCAGTTACTGCTCCTTGATGCTATGTTTCAGTGTACCTACCTGTCTGCTTCTCCTTTGTATTCAGTAGCTGTATTCATACATAAAGCGAGGGGGCTCTCGTGGTCGATCGCCTCTCATTCAATGGGTCCCCAGAGTTAGAATCCGGAATGCAACGGAAAATTTTCTTCTCTAAAATGTTCTACTTTTACCTCCTTTCCTGCTCTCTAAAAATGTTCTATTGTCTGCTTTCATCTCCACTTTCTGCCCCCACCCCCCTTGGCCCCCTCCTCTGGGCTCCTGACTCTTTCTGCAGCCTTTCTACTGTTTCTCCTTGGCTCCTTCTTACTGCTGTCTTTCAGCACACCCCTGATCTTAGGGTAGGTAAGATCTAACATCTAGCGTTTTCGGTTGAGGGCGAAAAATCTCGGAGGTCCCGTGTTCAATTTGCGCATATTTAAGATCCCTTGTTGGTCCAAAATCGATAAAAGTAGGCCTTGGCTGCCACCTGGGCGAAATTCAAAATTTCCTACCCACTGAAAATGTTAATGTGGCCCGCGAGCTCATATGACCTTATGCAGTTGCGAGTGCCATAAAACATTTACCAAAAGAAAAACCAACATAAAGCTTCGAAGCAGGCATTTAAAGACAATGTGCTGTCAAGATATTTAAAGCTACTGCCATTGTTCAGTGTTATGTTACATATTTTGGTTCCAGATGGGTCTGCATATCAATAGGGACAGACTGGAAAAAGAATTTCTGTCTCTGCTGTGCTTAATAAGAGTCCGACGTTTTCACGTGCTTTTGAAAAAAGATCATCAGTTTTGCAGACTGGATTCTTCATGAGCAAGCAATACACAATCGTCAGCAAATAGCAGCTCACAGACATGCATCATGATGTTGTTGTTGTTATCTATCCAGCAACAGCTGGGCTCTCGCCCTTCTGTCCAATGCCATGTAGCAATAAGTGCAAGTTGCGCATACTAAAGATCCCCTGGGTGTCCAGAATCAATATGAGTAGGCTTCGGCCGCCAATCGGACAAAATTCGAAATTTCCTACCTACTGAAAATGTTTCATGTGTCCCGCGTTCTCATATGACCTTATGCAGTTGCGAGCGCTGTAAAACACTTACCAAAACAAAAATACACAAAATATTCATTCAATTGGTTTCACTTTCTTATGTCTCATTCCAGTCAGGTGATGTGCAGTCGGTCTTGGTGGCAGATCTGTTCAAACTGTCAGAAACCCAAAGACAGTCGTATGTGTTGTTTGCCTTGCAGAACCTCACCTTGGTAAGACTCTACTTCTGTAAATGTGTCACGACATGGTGGAATCAGGCGCTCGTCATTTTTGGGGCATTTGGGATTATCAGTATCATCTTAAAGCCTGTTCATTTGCCTTCTTTTTGGGGAAAAAATATCCATCTATGTTTAATAGTAGTCGAAATAATTGCAATTGAAGGAGGTCAGGGTCAACTGGTTTCAGAGGTAAAATTAGCGAGAAAATGGCCGCCAAAATTTGGTAACTTCCATTGCCTGATGGTCCTTGAAAACTGAAAATGTACATTTTTGTGCCTTAAATCAAATGTTTTCCAGTATAATCCACATAAAAACGTGTTTTTAAATGGACTTAAAAGGTGTTGAGTCAAAAAAAGAAAAGTAGAAAAAAATTAACCATCGGCCAAAAAAATACAGATTTGTCGAATTTCATTTTTTTGACGAGCGCCTGATTTCACCACGATGCCTCACAAATAACTAGTGTGTGTAGTACAGTCGAACCTACCCAAGATGACCTCCCAGTGTTAAGGACAAAAGTGATCTTTTTAGACGGATGGGCGTCTTGGGCAGGTCAGTTGAAAATTAAGAAGGAAAAAAAAAGCCATTCCTTTCTCACGTTTCAATTGGAGGTGGTCGCAGACTTAAAACTGCCACAAGGCCTATTAAAATGTTTTTTGCTTTTTGTACCCAATTTTTTATTTTTTTATTTTATTTTTTTTGCTTGGAAGGGGGAGGGGTGGTGTCTTTTCTATTTTGATAATAATAATAATAATAAATAGCATTTATACTGCGCATTTCCATTTCCTAAAAGATGCTCAATGTGCATTACAATGAAAAAGACATCACATCTTAAAAATTAATCGAAACAAAGGTGTACGTAAAACAAAGTATTATACATATAATATAAATGCATATGTGTAAAATTTTATACCAGAAAAACAGTCTCGCAGTGAGGTTGAAAATGTGTTCACTAAAAACATACAATGCAATAAAAATTCACGAACAGTCAAAATAAAGTTGAAACGTGAGTAACTAGAAACATTCATTAAAACATTAATTCTATACAGATAGAAAAAAATTTCCGTTCTCCCTCTCCCTCTATCTCTCTCTCTTTCTCTCTCCCTCTCTCGCTATCTCTCTCTTTTCTCTCTCTATCCCTCTCTTTTTCTCTCTCTCATTCTCACTCGCTATTTCTTCAGTCTCACAGTCTGGCATACACCTACATATATATCACAGTACATCATTATGACAGGTATGCTTTTGTTTTGATAACATTAACATTCCCTTCTGATAATTTTAGGCTACGCAGTACGTGTCAGACAGCGAGAGATTTGCACGGGTTGTCTTACACAGGTTTTTGGAGCTGTTGGTGGATACCACAGCAGTTGTGGTCATTTTGGACAGATGTTTTATCTTAGACAGCGTCTTTACATTTCTAAAAAAAGCAAGGACAGACAGATATAGAAATTCATTCGTACCAGCTGCTGTGAGGTTACTGAACACACAGTACTATAAATGAAACAGAGAGAGAGAGAATGTTTTACGTAGCGGGTTGTTTTAGCACGTGAGACATGTATTTACTAATGTCTTGTCTTGTTGTGCGTATGCGTGAGTGCACCTAACTTTTGTAATATCTACTGCCATTATAAACGACCAAGCCAAATTTCTCCCTGCGAGATGAATAAAGATTGTCATTGTCATTATAATTTTTTTAATGCGAGGGGATGAAGTGGGAAGCGGTCGTTTGGACAATTGCTCGTCTTGGACAGGTGGTCGCTAGAGCAGGACTGTACGTACAGGCATGCGTTTTTTTTTAACAAGAGTTTATCACGCTTTGAAAGTCACAGGTTAGACTGTACGTACAGGCATGCTTTTTTTTAAACAAAAGTTTATCACGCTTTGAAAGTCACAGGTTAGACTGTACGTACAGGCATGCTTTTTTTAACAAGAGTTCATCATGCTTTGAAAGTCAATATGGACACTATTCCAAACTCATTCTGTCAAGATTATGGACAGTCAAAAAATCGATTTTGGGCTGAAATATTCCAACTCATTTTCTGCAGTCCCTTCATACGGTTGATGGGCAACTGAATGATTGATTTTTTTATGTCCCCTGTGAAGTGAGTTTTACTACAGAGAACAAATGTGAGGTGTGCTGACAAAATGGGTTACTTCTCGGATTTTAGACTTATGGAAATTGATACATCAACTTTACAAGTGGAGTTTTGTACAATTTGTAAGTGTCGAATAATAAAAGACACGGTAGACTAGAACAATATGGCATCAATTGAAAATCTATAAATATGACCCCAGTGTCGCTTTTCGGCTGATATCTCCATTCTTGGATGGCGAGAAGTAACTCATTTTTTAGGCATCCTGGTGAAATCCGGCGCTCGTCAAAATACTGAGATCAAAGAAATCTGCATTTTTTTCTGCAGATGGGCAAATTTTTTCTAATTTTCTTTTTTTGGCTCAACATTTTCATGTCCATTTAAAAACATATTTTTGTGTGGATTTTACTTTAAAACATTGATTAAATTCACATTTTCAGTTTCCAATGACTCTCAGGCTATAGAACTTATCAAGTTTTGGTAGCCATTTTCTAATTTTTCTTCTGAAACGAGGCGACTGTGACCTCCTTCAATCGCAAATATCTTGACTTCTATTCAACTTAGATGGATATTTTTTTTCACCGAAAGGAGGGCAGATGAACAGGCTTTAAGATGATACCAATAACCCCATATGCCCCAAAATTGACGAGCACCTGATTCCACCACTTCGAGACACATTTTGTCAGCACGCCCCACAAATGGTGCTCAGCGTCATCTTTGTGGTTTGGTGCTCTGTACAAATGGGTCGCGAGCGCGAGAACGGAACTGAATCGCCACTCTTGCCTGCGGATTCACGATTCACTTCAGCGGAACGCAGAACAGTATCCCCAAACAATTCCAGATTCACTCCCCTGTCGCTGTCACCACCTTGTGGCTTGTTTAACCTACTGTTGAGTCGAGTCACGAGCGCAAGAACAGAACGGAACACTTAGTACGGCTCCCCTTATTTTACAAAAGATGGTATAGTCCAACCCCCCTATTAAAACAAAATGAACAGGGTCCAACAAATAGAAGGAATTTTATGGAGCCATTGTTTTAGCGAATCATGGGGGTGGGGGGGTGGGGTGAATTTATTGGGGTCACTAATTGAGGTCAGTTGATAGAGCAGCGCAACAAAGGGTATGGGGCGGAGAGGATGGCGGAACAACAAGAGTGGGACTCGCGCTCGCCAAGTGGCGTTGATATGACACTGTTCTGTTTCAGTCAGTGTTCCGCCACAGTTCCACGAGCGCTCGCGATGAAGCCGACTGAATCGCGAATCGCTACTCTCAAATTTGGCTAGCAGGATCCAGCCCTAGTGCTCTGTGAGGTTTTTCTTGTCCTCCCACTGTTGCTGTCACCATTTCCCTTATCAGTGACTTAGAAATGACCTATTTGTGTCTATTAGGGTGTTATGCTCCTACACAGACTCGTAAAATGTGGTCATTGACATTTTGGTTTACTGTAAATTATAGGTATGATAACAGACAACATCATCTTTTTGATGTGTTTTGAATTTCTTGCTTTATTCCGCTTTTATTTTACGACCCTGTTCAGATTGTCTGTAACCCCCGGGGCAGTGCCACTGGCTGTAGTGTCTTTAGGCCGTTCCCAAAGGGGGGACGTTTCTCGTTCAAGCTCAGTAGAATTGTAAATGGGCTGATTCATCATGTCACGCTCATAACTGTGCCTGATCTGCAACAGGGAACTGCTGCTTTTTCTTTCCTAATCCTTACTATTGTCATTTTCCTCTACTTCTTTTGTATGTTTGTCACTCTTGTGACCTGCTATTTCCGGGGTGCCTTGATAGTCGAAGTAGACCTTGTGCTGTTGAAGCTAGAGAGGTGAGCAGAGTAAGTCTGATTCCCTGTAAGGACTTCTCTGTTGACGCCCACCCCTTGGCTCTCATATGACCTTATGCAGTTGCGAGCGCCGTAAAACCTCTACTATAAAAAAAAAAAAAAGATTGTCTGTGCCCAAGCCCGATACTACCTGCCTTGTATCTGATGTAATTTCTAATAAAATTTGTAGTCTCTCGATGTTTTTGCAAGCCATGCCTTCAACGACTAGTATTTGTTGACCTTATTGTGTTGCAAGTGCCGTGCAACTTTTACTAAAACTCAAACTCAGTGACTAGTATTTGTCTTTCCGCGTACAGGAAGAAGTGGCCTCCAAGAGAGGCTTGAGAACTTCCTCGATCGTGAGCCACATGTGTGAGGCCCTGAAGAAAGGTCTGGACGTGGATACAAAGCGGTTGGGGGTCACGCCTCGGATAGAGGAGCTCGTCACCAGCGCCATCCGGGCTCCTCCTGTGAATGGAGGTAGGCGTGCGACTCGTCCTCAGTGTCATGTTCAGGCTTCCTGCCTCCTGTCCCCGTTATTAACTCATCGCCTCCTGTCCCCGTTATTGACCCATCGCCTCCTGTCCCTATTATTGACCCATCGTCTCCTGTCCCTATTATTAACCCATCGTCTCCTGTCCCTATTATTGACCCATCGCCTCCTGTCCCAGTTATTAACCCATCGTCTCCTGTCCCAGTTATTAACCCATCACCTCCTGTCCCAGTTATTAACCCATCGCCTCCTGTCCCTATTATTAACCCATCACCTCCTGTCCCAGTTATTAACCCATCACCTCCTGTCCCAGTTATTAACCCATCGCCTCCTGTCCCCGTTATTAACCCATTGCCTCCTGTCCCCATTATTAACCCAATGACCCCTGCAGAACCCATCTGCTGGGACATTTCAGTAACCCATCTGCTGGGACATTTCAGTAACCCATTTACGGCACTTTTCAAGGACCCCCAGGGCTTGTGTTGAGTTCCTGCGTGCTATCGGCATCGCTGACCGTTTATGACGCCACAGTGCCAGGAGAGAGAGAGAGAGAGGAGAGATCGCTTCCTGCCTTTTGTCCCCATTATTAACCCATCGCCTCCTGTCTTCTGTCCCATTATTAACCCATTGCCTCCTGTCTTCTGTCTCATTATTAACCCATTGCCTCCTGTCTTCTGTCCCATTATTAACCCATTGCCTCCTGTCTTCTGTCTCATTATTAACCCATTGCCTCCTGTCTTCTGTCCCATTATTAACCCATTGCCTCCTGTCTTCTGTCCCATTATTAACCCATCGCCTCCTGCCGCGACTGTCCCTCAGAGGTTATCTCGACTAAAGACACGATAGTGAAAATGGGCACTTCAGACCCAGGTCCCCTCCCCCCGCCCCCGGGCGGTGCTACTGGCTGAAGTGTCTTTATGCCATTCCCAAAGGGGGTATATTAACATGTTATAATGCTTAGTAGAACTGTAAATGGGCTGATTCATCTGTGTCATGCTCATAACCGTGCCTGAAATGCAACAGGGAACTGCTGCTTTTTCTTTCCTGACCCTTACTATCGTCATTTTTTCTCTACTTCTTTTGTATATTGGTCACTCTCGTATGACCCGCTGTTTCGAGGGTGCCTTGATAATCGAAGCAAACTTTGTGCTGTTGAAGCTAGAGAGGTGAGCAGAGTAAGCCTGATTCCCTGTAAGGGCTTCTCTGTTGACATCCACCCTTTGGCGCTCGTATGATGTAATCGAGTGTGTCAACAGTTGAACATGAATCTTTTGTCTCATACTTACTCTATACAGCGACAAAGCACGGCTGATTAAAACCTGCAAATTCTTTGCCATATCGACAGACCGAAGGGCTAGAACCCATATGGCCGCTGGATCGGAAAAGTAAAGTAAAGTAAGTCTCATACTTACTGCCAGTGACAAAAGTTGTCCCAGTTTGTCTTTAGTTAAAAATGTCGCCCCGTAAGTACCGAGCCCCCTTAAGCTGCGTTAACTCACTGGAGACTGGGCCTTTTACGTGTCTGCACGTACTGGACACCGGCATTTTGCGCGAATTTCGATATTTCATACAACGCCCTTCCCAAAGACATCCAGCCACCAGTTATACACTCATGGCAGATCTAAACTTGCCTAATAGGACAAAAAATGCAACAACACAAAGGAAATGTCTTTTATAATTTTTTAGAAATAATTTTGGGGAAAATGTGCTAAAATTTGCTGCTCGCCAACATTTTTTGACGTAATGTCTTGTGTTAAAAAAGAACCCAGCAAAACACCCAAAAAAATCATCCTTGTGAGTCTTTTGATGTGTTTTGTGTTTCAAAATGAATAAAAAGTTCCGACTCATGAATAGGCAGGTAATTGATGCTGTAATCATATGTGTAATCCGCTTCAGTGGGAAAAAAGCAGGGCTCCAGACAAAGCAGAATTTTGCATTTGAAGGCCTAGTCTAGATCTAGAGCATTCTCCGTCAGAATCAGCGCTTTGATGCTCATTTGCATTGAAATCAGGATCCTCATGGTCTGAAATATCATAATCCTAATTTTCTGAACTGTCAAAGTCGTGAAACACTTGAAAAATGTTTGCTTTTCGTGCTGCCAAGTTGGTGGTTGGCATGTCTTCTGGTGTGGTTTGCTCCTTCTTTCCTATGAAACAACTCTCGTCCTGACCTCTCCTCTTTTTTTGTTTTTGTTACTCTCTTATAACACATCTAATCTTCGGCACCTTATTGTGTTGCAAGTGCCGTAAAACTCTTACTAAAACTAAACATGCTGCCATCATACTGAAAAAGTGTTGCAAGAACAAACATCAGTCAGAGAAATGAAAGTAGGCCCTCAATGTGACTAACTTTCCTCCCAGTTCGATAACTCAAAAAATTTCCAGCCAATTCCCGTGAAACTTCACATGAAACGAAACAAAGGTCGGCTGCACGGTAAGAGATGGTTCATGCAGCGTTTGCTAGCATACTTTTCCGACAACAAAACGCAAAACTTGTGAACCGCCTCTCGTGGAAAATATTGATACTCGTAAATGCTGCATGAAACATCTACAGTGAGTTAAACTCTTTTAAAGGAAGATTTTCCTAGCTTTTCCTGCCCCAAACAAGAATCTAGACCCAGAATTAGTATAGGAAATGTACAGTCTAGGAATTGGTTTACATCAGTCAGTAAGGCAGTAATCAAATCCGAAATGGCTGCAAATATGAATGTTTGCAACCTGTTCAACACATTTTATCGGGATAGTAATGATTCATGTGGAAACAGACTGCATTTCAGTGGTGAAAGGGGAGGTATATTTCGCCCTGTTTCCCTGGCTGCCTTGAACTGTATCGCTCACACCTGGACTAAAATAAATTTGACACCACAACGTCTGGACTAACGCACAGGCAAAGACACTCTGATAAACAAAAAAATTAAATCTATGACAAGGTATTGTTTAGAAAATTTTTATCTTTTTTTTTTTTAATTCACTCAATTTCCTGTTCAGTGATGTTTGGTTCATATTTCTGTCTTAAAAGATAAGGAAGTTATAAGCATTAATCATGAGGCACCCTAATTTTTTCATGAACTTCTCAAATTAATTGGCCTCTGGGGGACCAGACTGGAATTAATTCGCCTCTTGAAGGGTTGACCCTATCTGTACGCCCTCGGGTAATTTTGTACCCCCGAGGTTGTATTCTTCACATTTTAGAATACTTCTAGTACAAAGATCTCTTTAAAACTTTCAGTATTTCTCAAAAAATCATTTTGACAGATTGCTATGCAAAGCATACGGATCGGATTAACGAGTAAATTTCCCCTTTGGAAAGTGGTTGCACAGAGTTCCCCATGTCGTATGGATACGATAGTAAAACACAACGTACCAATAGGGTTGAACCTCCAAGTGTCACTAACAATAGCCTGTGGTGTGGGTGGAAATTGTAGGAGTTCATCCTGCTATGTTGGAAAGTGTTTGGCAACAGGCGTGCCAAGCTATAAAGGCCATGAACCTATACATTTTCCGAAAGAAGAATGTGAATAGAGTTCATTTGTGGTCGAGCTGAATTATTAACCCGATCCGTACGCCGTGTTTTACTATTGTATCCCTACGACGTGGGGAACTCTTTGCCACCTCTTTCCAAAGAGAAAATTTACTCATTAATCCAATCAGTACGCTTTGCATTGCAGTCTGTCTAAATGATTTTTTGAGAAATACTGAAAGTTTCAGAGATCTTTGTACTAGTAGTATTCTAAAATGTGAAGAATACAACCCTGGAGGTTAAAAATGACCCCAGGGCGTACGGATAGGGTTAAGCAATATTTAAAAAAAATGAATGGGATAACTGAAATAGTGACTCAGACTTCAGGTGATTAAATCGGCCGTGACACCACTGAATGAAACAAAGGTCTGATTTAATGGGACGTCGACACAAGGACGGATGGCGTTACTAAGATAGGTCTAGTAGACGCGACTGTGATATTATGCAGTGTTATTAGATCAATAATATGTGATTATATAATATGTTTTTATTGTTACATCTTTTTTTCTTTGCGCTAGTTTTAACTGAGTCGGATGGAATTTCAGGTCTTCTAGAAATACGTGAACCCTCCTTATGCCTTGCACAACTTTAGTTTGACCTTCAAGTGTAGAACTCCCAAAAGAAAAAGGAAAAATTATTTAATATCAAATGTCGAAAACATAATATGTATTAGTGCCCTGATCATTTTAGCTAGAAATAAAAAATTTCATTCCTAAGATATTGATTCCTGAAAGGGGACTGAAATGTTTTCCTTCTCTTCTTGTGGTTTCGGACGTTGTGATTTGTAACCAGCAATTTGAAAAGAATAGAGAGCTGTGACAATCGGCGGGGGGGGGGGGGGGAGTTGGAGGAGCTTATTCCAGTGTTTAGTTTAGTTTTGGTAAGAGTTTTACGGCACTTGCAACACAGTAAGGTCATATAAATGCTGAAGAATGGATTATGTGTTACAAAAGAGTAAAACCACAAAAAAGAAGGAGGGGAGATAAGGACGATTAGACGTTTGAATTTGATAGGTAAGAAGAAGCAAACCACACCAGAGCACCCACCAACCAGCCACCTATTCCACGGTGATGCAACCTTGAGTGTGGAGTATTTGCCTGTTGAAAATCTGATTTTGTTTGTGCTTTCTACAGGTATATCCAGTTTGACCAAAATGAAATACCACTTTCCCTTGTAATACTTGTATGTGGAGTATTTGCCTGTTGAAAATCTGATGATTTTGATTGTGCTTTGTACTGGTATATCCAGTTTGACCAAAATGAAAGACCACTTTCCCTTGTAATACTTGTATGTGGAGTATTTGCCTGTTGAAAATCTGATGATTTTGATTGTGCTTTGTACTGGTATATCCAGTTTGAACAAAATCAAAGACCACTTTCCCTTGTAATACTTGTATGTGGAGTATTTGCCTGTTGAAAATCTGATTTTGTTTGTGCTCTGTACAGGTATGTGGAATATTTTTGTCTGTTGATAATCTGATTTTGTTTTGTGTTCTGTACAGGGGGGTGTTTTTGCCTGTTGAAAATCTGATTTTGTTTTTGATAATCTGATTTTGATTTGTGTTCTGTACAGGTATATCCAGTTTGACCAAAATCAAAGACCAACTTCCCTTGTACGTGGAGTACAACCACATCAAAGTTGTCATCTCTTTACTCCTTCACAAACACGGTCAGGGAGTCAACGCAGATGGGGAACCCGTTCTGAGTGGGTCAGACCCACAAAATGCTGAGGATGCCAAGGTACACTGTCGCTGACTCATTCATTGCTTTCTTGTTTGTTTTGACACGATACACTGATGGTTTTTAAAAAGCACCTCGCACCTATTTCTGAAACTTGAAGATCAAACTGTGAGCATATTATCATTTATTGTTGTTGTGGTACCCTATCTTATCTGCTTAAAGCTTCTCATGAGTTTTTAAATATTTTTTTTGACTTTGCAAGGAAGAAAACAGCAATCATATTACTTGCTAAAATGCAAAGTTCAATTGAAAAGTAATTTCAGGTCATAGATGTTATTGTGTCTTTGACTCAAAGAGGATGTTGTTCATGACTGATAAAATAAGTTTCACTTTTTATCTTTTCGTGAAAAAAGCTCTATCCCAGCTCAATAAGAAGAAATTGAAATAGTACATTGTTTTAAGATAACTGTGTACTTTTAACTATCTCTCCCAATTTCCACTTCTGTTTCAGAAGTCTGCGTCAAGCTTGAGTCTGAAAAGAGAAAGGAGTTCAAGTTCCTCCTCACCGTCGTCTTCAGTCTCTCAAAAAGTTGGTAAAATTTCTCCAAACTTGCCGTCCAGCAGCCAACAACCGACTCCCTCGTGGAAATCAGTGTCAGATTCCCAGTCACGGTTAGGGGCTGGCCCCCAGGAATTCTTACAGTCAAACACTATGGATTCACAGGACTCTAGCCAGGGCAGCATGTTGAAGAAACTGCCCTCATGGATGGCTCAGTCTGCCAATAAAACTGTGCTCAAAAAGAAAATGAAATCGAACAGTTTGTTTAAGTAATCCTGTGATCAGGTTTGATCTGTGTATATAGGATATTATATATATATATGTATATATATATAGAGAGAGAGAGTTGAGCGTTTTATATAACTGCAAAAGTTGATGTTTTCATGGTTTGACATTTTGCGAGTGAAGCTTTTGGCTGAGGGAGCAGCCACAGTTCACTTTTCTTTGTTTCTGGCTAACACAGTGTGTAGCTCTGTTGGCTGGCTGCTCCACATTGTATGGAAGTCACATATGGCAGCTACGTTGTTGGTGAAGTGATCCGAGTTCCTGGAAATATCCATGTTGTTGTCCATCTGTTCATCTTGAGAGACGGTGATGTGTGGCACAACGACAAGAAAGAACTGAGGTCGCGATTTGACAGGGAGGCGCCCTTCCCAGTTTTTCGGCGTGATAAGAATGTAGTTTGGATTCCGATAAAGCTGACAATGCCGATCGGTGCTTAAAGCCGCCTGCAGTCTGCCAGCTCTATGTGGGGCAAGTTGGAAATCATACTTTAAGGGAATTTTTATACCTATCGGCACCTACTGAGTCAGTCTCAAATCAGCGTTCTCTATGTTTTCGCCCTTAGAGGAGACCTGTGAGCACTCACGCCTTTATGGCTGTTCAGATTTTCATGTAAGTTGTGTATATAATGTTTGGTTATAAGAGATAATTAGCTCAGTGATTTTGGTTGCAAGGTGGTTTTGACTCTAGAAAGACTTTTACTTTTGAACAGTGACTGGACAAGAAAAGTTATGATTCTATCACTTCAGTTCTGCAATCTAAGGAAATTTGAGAGGTATCTCAGTAAAACTCCCTCTATGCTTTATGATGAACAAATTATGTTTCTTCATTACTTTTAACTCTTTTGTTTTTGTAAAGTGTTTTACGGCGCTCGCAACTGCATAGGTCATATGAGCGCGCGGGACACGCCTAATGTTTTCAGTTGGTAGGAAATTTTGAATTTTGCCCGGGTGGCGGCCAAAGCCTACTCTTATCGATTTTAGACCACCAAGGGATCTTTAACGTGCGCAACTTGCACACGGGTCCTCCGAGATTTTTCGCCCTTTTCCGAGAAGGCTAGGTGTAGATCTTTCCTACCAGAAGGTCAGGGGTGTGGCTGAAAGACTGCAGTAAGAAGAAGCGAAGGAGTAGCAGTAGAAAGACTGCAGAAAGAATCAGGAGCCCAGAGGAAGGAGCAAAGGAGGTGAGGGGGTGGGGGCAGAAAGAGGGAACCAAAGCAGACGACAGAACATTGCTAGAGAGCAGGAAATGAAGTGAAAGGAGACAAATTTAGAGAAGAAAATTTTTCGGTCGCTACCCGGATTCGAACCCAGGACCTTTTGAGTGAGAGGCCAACCTTTTAACCTCTAGGCCACGAGAGCCCCCTTTAACTCTTTATCTATTAGGGGGTAAACCCACTACGCCGGGGCCTTTTTTGGTGCTAAATCTAAAACTTATGACAATAACGTCTTTAAATCAAAACAAGTGTACCTATTTTGATAGTTCTTCATCAAATGATTGAACTCCTGGTAAAAAAGACCTATTTTTCGCAATTGCCCAAAAGTAATTTGATGTCAAAGTCGTCGTAAAGCAATGTGCCCAAGTCGCTGCCAGCAGCCTCGCCGGCACAGCGGTTCCGACCGTGAGCCACTCTTACTTTTTTTTTTATACATCTCAGACTTGGTTACTTTGCAACTGGCTTGTTAGACCTGCTTCCTTCTTCTGTTGGCGTTCTTGTACTTTTATCATAAATCCTTCATGGTTTTCTTATTTTACCCCGCGGGGCAGTGCCACTGACTGTAGTGTCTTTAGGCCATTCCCAAAGGGGGGACATTTCTCGTTCAAGCATAGTAGAATTGTAAATGGGCTGACTCATGTCACGCTAATAACTGTGCCTGATCTACAACAGGGAACTGCTGCTTTTTCTTTCCTGATCCTTACTATTGTCATTTTCCTTTACTTCTTTTGTATGTTTGTCACTCTCTTGTGACCTGCTATTTCCGGGGTGCCTTGATAGTCGAAGCAGACTTTGTGCTGTTGAAGCTAGAGAGGTGAGCAGTCTAAGTCTGATTCCCTGTAAAGACTTCTCTGTTGACACCCACCCCTTGGCGCTCATATGACCTTATGCAGTTTTGAGCGCCGTAAAACCCTCTACTATTTTTTTTATTTTTTTTATTCTTATTTTGTCATAAAAAGGTTTTTCTATTACAAATGTTACTGTACATTCATGATGCGGTTCGCAACTCACTACAAAAATGAACATTTATTTTTTTTTAGCTCTGACATGATACTGTAATTATTGATTATATTACTGTTCATTTATTTTATGCATGTAACTGTGAGCCTTTTTGTGAGTGCATGCATACTTTTATATTATTATGGTTATGTGCACAGATGTGTGTGAAAGAGAGGATGTGTGATGGAAGAGTGATTGTGTTTATAGGTGTGCACATGTGCGTGCGTGTGCTTGTTTTTGTGTGTGTGTATGTGTGTACATGGTGAAACACCAAACCAATGTGCCAGGATCTGGACAATGAAGATGTATCTTATCTTATTTGAGAAGGTGTGTAGTGTGAGGTTCCCGTGAGTGCTTGATTTGCACTTTCTGTCTGGTCTCATCTGTCCAAGATCTCTTTTTTACATGTGTGAAGGACGGACATCACTGCACAAGTGGGTGGTTGGCGGGTGCTCTGGTGTGGTTTGCTTCTTCTTTTCTATCAAACATCTATCATCCTGATCTCCCCTTCATGTTTTTTATGTTTGTTACTCTCTTGTAACAGCTGTAATCTTCTGGCGCTCATATGACCTTACGCAGTTGAGAGCGCAGTAAAACCTCTACTAAAACTTTAAAAATCACTGCACAAGGGGCCTCCAATCCCCATATAAGCGCTCCGTCCCCTGAAGAAGCACATCTCTTTTTTTCCTTCCCTGGCTATCTCTGCGTAAATAATCTCGACTCCCCCCCCCCTTGTTTACAAGCAGCAGTTTTTGTTAGCAGCTGTGTGGGTGTGGGTGGTTGGCGGGTGCTCTAGTGTGGTCTGCTTCTTCTTTCCTATTCAACATCTATCATCTTTATCTCCCCTCCTTCTTTTTTGTGTTCGTTACTCTCTTGTAACACCTCAAATTTTCTGGGGCTCATATGACCTTATGCCGTTGAGAGTGCCGTAAAGCCTCTACTAAAAGCGTCGGTGGCCTAGTGGTTAGGCTCTCGGACTCGCAACCGTAAGGTCGTGGGTTCGAATCCCGTCAGGGGCCCGACATTGTGTCCTTGGGAAAGGCACTTTGCACAAATTTTCCTCACTTCACCCAGTGGAAATGATAGTGTTTGAGCGTGTGAAATCCGCAGCTTGCACTGTATGCTTCTGCGGAAGCCAAGAATGTTTCTGAGTGTTCTCAGGGGGTCAGCTGGGGTAATAATAGTTGTAAAGCGCATAGAGCATGCTCTTGAGCGTGGATATGCGCTATATAAATGCAATTATTAATTATTATTATTAAAACTAAAATAAAGCTGTGTGGGTGAAGGTTGGCCATCTCGTTTGTCTTATCTCACTTTCTTAGTGTGTGGGTGGTTGGTGGATGCTCTGGTGTGGTTGGCTCCTTCTTTCCTACCAAACATCTATCGTCTTGATCTCTCCTCTTTCTTTTTTGTGTTTGTTACTCTCTTGTGACACCTCTAATCTTCGGCACTTATATGACCTTATTGCGTTGCAAGTGTCGTAAAACTCTTACTAAAACTGAAAAGACTTTCTTAGCAAGGATTTTTTGTGAACACTGAGCTGAGTTGAAGCAGTTGCATTGAAAATTTCACATGTAATAAAATGATATTTTGTTTAATTTACCGGGGTATTTCTTGAGTCGTTTCAATGGACAAAGTTAAATTGTATGCCTTCTTTGTGTCATGAGCTGATTGGTTAGAACAAAGATTCTACTTAACAAGAGGGGCCACTTCTCTCTTTGAGCCAATTAAAAAAGTGTCCTCAAAATTCGGTGGCGCCCTCTTCGCAAATGCACACCTTTTGCGAACAGAGTTACATGTACCCTACTTGAGTTTGAAAAATCAAAGTGAAACTAGCAAGTTTTTAAAATAAATTTCGGAAGAACACTTTTTTAAAATGGTTACGCTGACAAAAAACCTCTTCCGGAGGAAAGGGTGATTGTTTTCTTCGTTTAATTTGACTTTAGAATGAAAGGCGAGAGGTCATTAAAATAAAAAAGGAACAACTAAAACTCTGCACTGAACGAACCCGAACAGTTGATGAATAGCAGTCGATCTGCGAGCACGCAAGGAGGTGCTATTCCTATTCTTCTTCTGGAAAAACGAAAGAGAACTTCAAAACAGACTGCAGGGCCATCTGAAGCAAAGAGCGAACTTTCGGCGGACACTTTTTTGGCTGAGTGGCCCATCTTGTTATGTACTGTCTTTGGTTAGAAGTCAAAGTGTGAAAGCTAAAGGAGGTCTGAACATTGTTTATGTATGCAAGTGTGCTTGTATGGGAAAGTGGAAATAGAGGGGGAAAGAAAGAGAATCATTGTCTGTACGTGCACAGACGAGTTTGGAAGGATGGCCCAGGACGGAGATAAATGACCCCCCCGGGGCAGTGCTACAGACTGAAGTGTCTTTAGGCCATTCCCAAAGGGGGGACATGAACATCTCGAGTTCTTATGTACTGTAGAATTGTAAAAGTAAATGGGCTGATTCATCGATGTCATGCTCATAACTGTGCCTGAACTGTATCAGGAAACTGCTGCTTTTTCTTTCCTAATCCTTACTTTCGTCATTTTTCCTCTACTTTGGTTTGTATCTGTGATTGAGTCAAGATTCATGAAATTGATTAAGTTTAAGGTACTCATTCTACTGTCAGCAATGTATTATTTGAGTTCTGCATTTATTTGTTTGTTATTATCACTACTTGCAACTGCAAGATTTCCCATGTGAATAGTCAACATTCCTTGTCTTATCTCATGTTATTTTTCTATGTGTGCTGGAAGCAGTTTGGTGATGAACCTTAATGTATGCCGCAGCAATATTTGTTAAAATGATTCTTTATAAAGAAAAAGATAAAGAGAATCTATATGGGGCATTGTAGTCATTGTAGTGAAATCAGGCGCTCATCAAAATAATGATATTGAAGAAAAAGACATTTTCCATCAGTTTGGCAATTTTAATCGAATTTTTTTTTTTTTGTTTGTGGCTTAACATCTTTTATGTTTATATGAAAACAGTCTCATGTGAATTTTACTGAAAAACCTTGTTTAAAGGCAGCGAATATGTCATTTTCAGTTTTCAAGGACTCAAGCTATTGAAGCTACCAAACTTTGGTGGGGAGCTCTCGTGGGCTAGAGGTTAAAGTGTTGGCCTCTTATTCAAAGGTCCCAGGTTCGAATTCGGGTAGTGAAAGAAAAATGTTCTGTTCTAAAATTGTCTCCTTTCACCTCCTTTCCTGCTCTCTTGC